ATTGCATGGCATGAAGAACTTGGGATATCCCTTTGGGCCCAACCATGGATTTTTTGGGCCTCAACAATGGCTAATGTAATAACCCGATCCTAAATTAATAGTTAAATATTAAATTATTCAAGAAAAAGACGATTTTACCCTGAGAATATTTTATTGGTCTAAAAGTTGAATTTTTGTTCAAGAAAGAATTTGGGAATTTTAGCAGTATTGTTGCATAGAGCACGTCGACATGAGTTCATAGACAAGTAATGGGCTCAAATCGGAGTTGTAACGAAGAAATTACGATAGAAAATAGTCCAGTGGCAAAACTGTAATTATTTCGAAAAGGGATTTTTAAAAACCAGATTCTCTCTCTCTCTCTCTCTCTCTCGCGTGCGAACCAAACCCCCCCTCCCTTCGCGACGAGCTACAGCCATCGGAAATTTTGGGCTACCGTCGCTTGATCTTGCCACCAATTTGGGTGGCAATTAGCCTCCGCCGTCATCGAAAAACACAGAAAATAGGCCAGCTTTTCTCAAAATTTCTTGGAGCTCGTTAGGGCGATTTCGGCCACCAATTTCATCGATCTAGGTATGCTTTTTCATCATCTCAATGTGTTCTAGTTGATGGTTGGGTTGTTTAAGATTAATTTATTCGTTTTGGTTCTCAAATAAGTGATAGAAGTTTTGGCCGATTTTGGCCCTTGATTCCGGCCACTTCCGGTTACTTTTTGGGGTTGGTCCAAGAACAAAGTTACTCTATTCATTATTCTGATCATGTAGGTATAGGTCTTGACCGGCGATTTGGAGATTTTTCGATCATCGGAATCGCTTTAGACACCCACGCGCTGCCGTCCCGAGCATGACAGTATGCTCGGATTTCAATTTTGTTACTGTTTGATTGTTGATTGGATATCGCATATTAGGCGTTATCCAGGTTCGATATGTTCGGACCGTTGGATTGACTTCATTTTCAAATATGTTGATCTAGGCATCTCTAGGATCGTGTAGGAATTCACGGATAGTTAATCGGAGTCTTGAATACTCCGATTCAATGACTTAAAGTTTACGTTAAACGCTAACCATTCGATCGTGCGATCGCAAGCGATCCGACCGTTCGATTCAGACCAAAATGGCAGGACATGTTTATTAAACCTTGTTGAACCTGAAGGAACTTTTGAATCGGAAATCGAGTCATGGGCCCCGTAGGCCCAATTGACCAGTTTTGGGAAGTTTGACTACTCGGTTGACCGAGAATCTTCCGAGGTAGTTTCATTCTTCAAGAAGTGTTAGAACGATCCTAGAAACAAGGCTTGACTGTTATGTGAATTATTTTGACTATGGTTAGATTTTGAGATTATATTATAGTATTTTATGGTAGTCCTGGAGGTTATTTCTAATATTCGAAGTTTATGCATTATTGGAAGTGGTGGAATCTCTAGGGGTTATTATTTATTTATTTACTTATTTATGTATTTATTTATTATTATTATTTTATGATTATTATTAAAGTATCAGACTGAGTGTTATTGGATGATTTAATGTTTATGAGTTATTATGTAATTGCTTTTACTTTCAGGATATTATATTGTGTTTAGTTGTGAAGAGTTTGGGAATGGTTTGTTAATCGGATTTCAACGTGAATAATAAATCAATCAAATATCTAAGTACATGTCTATATTTAATATATATACCCAGTGGTTTGAAAATAATGAATAATGGACACTAGTTCTCAACAGTACATGGTGTAAATTCAAAGGTAGTTGAGAACTGACTTTTGGAAAGTTGAGAAAGATTTGAAATATGGTTTTCAAACCTACCACAAGAGTACACCACCCCCCCCCCCCCCAATTTTTTTTTTTTTGCCTTTGAAACAGTTTTGATCATTTATGACAATATCCCACGAGTTTCAGGGATGCCTCAATCGTGTGGTGCAAGGATGTGCGTTCTCGGGTTGACTACATGTTTCCCGAGTTCTGCGAGGATGTGCGTTCTTGGGCTGATTACATGTCCCCCAAGTATTGCGAGGAATGCAGCTCGGGTTGACTTTGTGTTACTAAGGCCTGTGAGGATGTGTCATATTATGTGACACATGGAATTGACGGAATATTATTGGAATTGACGAAATATTAGTGAAATTGTCGAATCACAAATGGGGGTACACCTAGGTGGAGAGTATTTGAGTTTTGAGATCTTTTAAACTAAAATTGATGATTTTATCTTGGTACTTATTAGTGAAGGTTTTAACACATGTTTTCCGACTTATGAGACAAGGATTGATAGTTTTCTAAGTGTTAAGAATTTTATACAGTTCACAATTTTTTTCTTAAGCGATGAGTTTGTTTTTACATGTAAAAGAGGGAAATATGTTTTATCTAAACTGTTGATATTGACATTAAGATTTCACGTGGTCAATATTATCTTAATAATTTTCTCGTTTTCCTACTTATCTGTAATAAGTTAATTATTATATATACATATAAAATACGCAAGTAATATATAAACTTATTTATGAATTAGAGGAAATTCTTTGAGTAGCCTATTTATGTGCAAGTATGAACTGTTTTGAGAATTGGGAAAGTTGGAAAGTATTGCTCTAGAGTTTGTGAATATTATTGAGCATATCACTAAAATGAGAACTTGGATTGATTTGCAAATCACATTGAAATATAATAAATGATAAAGATATACAAGTGCAATATAAAAAGTGAAAGAACTATGTATGGCTTGATCCCTTAGTAAGGGTACGTGGTCAACCTAGAGTTACTAGGTGCAGCCGCAAGATCAAGTGATTGAAAAGTTGTTCAGTTAAGTTATTTTTGAAATCTGCTAATGTATTCATGTTGTTCCAAAAAGTTGAGATCAGTTTTAGATGACATAACAATTTATTTGGTTTAAAGAGGCCTGAGGCCATAAAGATTTGATGTTTGGTTGCATGAATTCTACTATTGTGCATGCTAAATGGTTGTGGTTATTTAAATTGCTTGTTGTACAAGTGAAAAAGTTTTGGGGAACGAGTAATTTTACAGGGGAGATGTTGCATTCCTAAAAGGACACAAATTAATGTGCAAACAACCAATTAAAAATACCCGCAAGTGCACGAATCTAATGAAGTATAGATTATGTAAGTACGGGGTCGATCCCACGAAGAACTTGTCGGTTTCCTATAAGTTCTAATTTGAGTACGTAAAGAACACTAGAATGAGTCGAAAATGGTGATGCATTACTAGATCAGATTGGATTGGTTGTTCAGATGCATTTGGTAAATTTTCAAGTGAAACATTGGTCTTTTTAACAAAATATTTATTCAAAGATCCTCTTACACTTTGAAAATGTTTTATATTTATCCATAGAAAAAGAAAGAACCTTGAAAGATCTTATTTTTAAAAATAAAAATAAAAATAAAAATAAAAACCTTGAAAGAAAGGTACTGATTTGGTCTTGTGGAGGAATTTTTTATTTTTTTTTTCCAACTCAGTGTCGAAGAAGAAGAGAATCACAAAAAATAAAAATAAAAATTTGCTTGCATGTAGTCTTTTTGTGTTGAACCCTAAACTTTCTATTTCAAAGGATGCCCATCACTCACAAATTTGTGCCCACGCACGTTTGGTGCTCGTATCTAAGAGAGAGAGAGAGAGCAAGCCAAAGCTATAGAGAAAGAGAATTGAGTGAGGGAGGGAGAGTGAAGGCTGAAATGATTGAGAGAGATGGCAGGGATCAAGCTAAATGGGGATTTCAATTGGGGCTGAGATTTTTGGTATGGGTTTGGTTTTGAAATGAAGCCTGGGAAGGAGATTGAGAGACCATGAGATATAGAGATGAGAGAGACAATTAGGGAGAAGTGTTAGTATGAAAATTGTATTGTCATTTCCTAGACTCTAGCATAGGTTGGGAAGTAGTGTGTGAATTATGTTTACTGGAAGATTTGGCGCAACACATTCAATCTCGGATTTTCGAAGTGTGACTTGATCGATATGAGGAAACTGATTTCAGGTAAATCATGACATAATCATGCATTCATTATAGGATTCCTAGTTAAAGTTATTTTCACCCAAGCACTTTTATGTTAATCTTATTTTAATAGGATTAGATTTTATCTCTTGAGATTGCTTTCCTAATTGGACTCTATTTTGATTTAAGTTAAAATATTAGGCTTTTCCTATTGTGACTTGCACATTGCTCATCTTCTAGTTAATTGGTTTTAGGAGATATTGTTCTCCCTAAAAGTGTGGCTAGTTGGCGTCATCTCTTTGAATCCAAAGTTAATCAAGTCTAATATTCATGATAGGATAGAACAAGTGTTTCATGTGTTGTGGTACCATTGGAACAATAACATTCGTGGCATACTGTGCTTCTCTCTAACTAGAGAGAACAAGTCTTGTATAAAAAAACCATGTGCCATTCTTTTCTTTGTAGAGCTTTCTGATATTTTGTTTAAGAATCTAAAATTCCTAAGAAAGCTGCTGTGCATATATTTGAGATAAATCATCAAGTGTTCCATGTTTATTTGGTGATTTATCAAACACTTTAATCATTCATATTGCATTCACTTGCATTGTTCGGTGACTCATAATGGTTGAGGGCATCAAGACCGTGGTGGCTGTTTTCCTCCGGCGAGCTTGAAGCAATCGTGACCAGTATTGCGTTCAACATAAGGAGTGTCGAAGATCATCCCGTGACAG